AAAAACCAATCCTAAACATCAAACCATGGATAAACCACTACCCCTGTTCAAAAAAACTTGGGCGGGGTGGGAAGCCGGACGATATGCGAATCTATCTACTCTTATTATCACAAGCTTCGTGATAACAACAAAAAGATGAGGATATTAGTCAGAATGTACGTAATGTAAGTATAACTCCTTAACCTAGAATTTCAGACAGGTTTTCAGTTTAGTTTCAAAAGGTCAGGGCCAGTGAGTTCAGTTACTAATGAGCTCCCCATTCTGGTGACCCTGAGCCATACTATATTAAGCAAATTTCTTCTTCTTTCTCTTCTTCTACTACAAGTATTATTACTACTACTACTACTACATCTACTTCTAATAACTACTAAATCGTATCAGTCATGCAGCCTGATCTTCTCTCTTTTTCTTTTTTCAAGCGGCATATCACAATTAGCCATCTTGGTGCCGATACCCTGAGAAAATGGCTTCTTACTGTACTTCTCTTTCTATAGTAATGCACTCTACCTTTTTTCGCCTCTCCTCTGCTGACTGACTAACGTTTTTCAGTGGAATAATTACATTGAATCAATTGTTATGTCTGCTGCTAAGAAAGTCGGTTCATTATGTTGTACTAGAATTTTTTCAGGCTAGAATCTAATAATAACAAGGTCAGGAGTTATAGTGAAATATTTTACGAGAAAAACCTATCACTTGATCGAACATGTCTGTTCCAGATTAGCGAAATATTTTACGAGAAAACAATACGAAAAGTTTAATTATGGCTCACCACAACTTTCTATCTATTGTGACACCTTTTTTCATACATTCACACAAATCCGTACAGTTGGTTACTCGTTGTATCCCTATGTTTCTTTTCTTTTCAATTTGTCACGTGTGCTAAATTCTCCAGCTCACTTTCCTCGTTATTTCTCTCAGAAAATTTCAAATTTATATCTTTCTGATAGTAAGTATAAGTTTCCTTGTAGTTCTTAGACGTGGAAGTGAAAATTAGCTGACTGTAGTACCTGAAAATAAAAACAAAACTACTAATTGTTGTAGTACTAAACCTTCTCTAAAAGGATGTCAATTCTTGTTAATATAAACAAGTAAAATCCAATTAGATATATATGTAACTATATAACAAATACGCCTGATTGCTTATATTTCATTCGTATAGGAATAATGTATGTAATACCCAAGCGAGAAGAATGAACTATCAACTGTAAGGTTTGGTTTGGTCTATTTTGTTTTAAGGCTTATCAATCTCAATACGTTATTTAATGTCGACAAGATCTTTAGGATAGATTCGTATGAATTGAATATGTATTCTTTGTAAGAAATCAATTTCTACATCAGGTTTCATTGACGTAATTTTGTAAATAGGGTTTTTTCAAATGTATCACCAGTAAAATATTTTTTCAAGAATGTACTGGTATTTTTACTATAAAAATCTATTTTTATGCTTTCATAGTGTTTTGACACCAGATTTTCTTGGGAGGGGGAAGACTATTTACCCAGAGGGAGGACATTAACAGGTGCTACCACGTCGGCCCTTGCCTGGGAACAACAGTAATTAAAAGCTAGATCTACCCTTCACAAAATCTCCCAATCAGAGGTCTTGCTGCTGGATGTAGTTTATCGTCATACCGAGGACGTCAACTGTAAGAAGACAGAATGTGTGTGGCCATCAACAAGAGAAAAAGTCTAAGATACGAGCTACAAATTGGACATGTCAAAATAAATAATATAGAGAATAATCAAAATAATATAATAATAATCAAAATAATATAGAGAAAAATATATAAATTAAATATAATATAATATTGACATATAATATAAAATAATAATATAATATTAATTATATAGTATATAATTATGTAATATATAATACAATATAAATAATATAATTTTGTAATCTTATTATAAAACACAGATTGTATGTGTGTCTGTACGTTTATATATTGGATCGGATTTCCTGCATTTTTCAACCGATTTCAACAAAACTTCACAGGACTGCGTAAAATTACCTTGCGGTGGTTTCCAAAAATTAGAAAAACAAAATTGTTTTTGCACGAAATCAATTTGAAAACACGATAAAACACGATTCTGTCGCCAGAATGAACGGGGGACAACTCATATCGAGTTATACCTATTATAAAACCCAGGTTGTGTGTGTGTGTGTGTGTGTGTGTGTGTGTGTGTGTGTGTGTGTGTGTTTGTGTGTGTGTGTGTGTTTTTGTGTGTGTGTGTGTGTGTGTGTGTGTTCGTTTATATATGGGATTGGATTTCCTACATTTTTCAACCGATTTCAACAAAACTTCACTTTTTTTGGCAGGTAGTGTTTCTTATTGTCTTGCACACTTTTTTCTTTATTTTTACATTCAGAATGCTTTAAAAATTTCATTTACAAGACAATTGTTTATAATAAAATTCTATTCAATCGGTAGACTCATAACGATTGGAAACAATGTTTTTGCTTGAGTTTGGGTTTGACTAATTCGTAAAAAAAAAACTAATTAAGACATGCGTGTCCGTCAACCTTAAACAATAATCTTTGTCAATTTTATTTTTCAGTCTTTATGATGGTGGATACTTGATCTATCTCTTACTGTTACATTCCCGGGCAACGCCGGCCTGTACTGCTAGTATAATTATATAATATTATATAATATATAATACAGAATAAATAATATAATATGATATAAATATATAATAGAATTATATAATATGAATTATATAATATATCATTATATAATATATAATACAATATAAACAATATAATATAAATATATAATATCATTATATATTATTAACTATATAATATGCAATACAATATAAATAATATAATATAATATAAATATATAATATAATATAATTATATAATATTAGTTATATAATATATAATTATGTAATATATAATACGAAATATATAATATAATATAAATATAATATAAAT